AAAGAAACGAGAAAAAAAAGAGGGGGGGGGGGGGGGGGGGGCCTGACACGACACGACACGACACGACACGACACGCTCCACGCGGGCGCAACATCATTCGCACTCGTGACTTTTTTCATTTCAAACAAAGTCCTCTCTCGCAGCTAAGCGCGCACAAATGTATTACATGTCAATTCATTCCCCCGCAGCCGCCTGATGAACTTCATCTCCCGCATACGCCGCCTCGTAGAATTGCCTTCCACTCGTAGTAGGCTTGACGATGTGCGCACGTATGAGCCAATCTCCAAACGGCTCTCCCTGCAAGCGCTCGCCAGCAAAGCGCTCAATCATGGGTTCCAGCGTCGCCAAGATCTCCTCTTCGCCCACGTCCGACATGTACGGCTTGCTCAGCCGCATGCCATTCTGTCCTCCACCCAGCAGCATGAGGTATCTGCCCGGTGCGCGTCCCACAAAGCCAATCGGCGTGATCCATGGTCTGGAGCAACCGTTGGCGCATCCGCTCATGCGCATCGGAATCTCCGTATCGCGCAATCCGTACTTTTCCACAATCTTTTCCACCTTCTCCACCAGGATGGGCAGGTACCTCTCCGACTCTGCAAAGGCCAGACCGCAAGTTGGGAAAGCGACGCAGGCAGAAGCGCTCAGCTTCAAACCCGAGTGCGACCAATTGTCCATGCCCCATTTTGCCAGGTGCGCTTCAATGCGAGGCTTCTCTTCTGGCGTCACGTCCGCAACGATAATGTGCTGGTTCGGCGTCATTCTAAAGCGGCCCTTGTGAATCTTGGCCAGCTCTCGCAGACCGGTCCTGAAGGGATCTCCAGGAGCATCGCGAACCCGTCCATTCTCCAACCACAAGCCGCAGTGCCAGTTGCCCTTGTAGTCGCGCGTCCAGCCGTACACGTCAGTGTTCGTGTCGAATTTAAACTCGCGAGCAGCTTCCAACGCGTACCCTAGGCGCTTCTCCAGCTCTCGCTTGAAATTCTCCGCACCCTTCCAGTGATTATCGATGGTGTACTTTAACCTCGCCTGCTTGCGGTTCGCGCGATTGCCCGTATCGCGCTGGATCAGCATGACCTGCTTGCACGCCTCGAGCGTCTGGTCCGGCGTCACGAATCCCAGCACGTCGCCCAAGCGCGGGTAGGTGACCTTCATGGAATGCGTCACGCCCATGCCACCACCGACGCTGATGTTGAAGCCTGCCAATCGCTTGGTGCGCGGATCCGCAATCGCAATCAGCCCGATATCGTGCGCAAAGCAGTCCGTGTCGTTGCGCGGTGGTACGGCAATGGCGATTTTAAACTTTCGCGGCAGGTACACGTTGCCATACAGCGGCTCGTAATCCTGCAGCGCGCCACCCGCTAGCAGCTGCTTCTTTTTGCTGTCCGTATCCGCATCCAACCAAATCTCGTGGTAAGAGTCCATGCGCGGCAACAGGTACTCCGAGATGCTCTTGGAGAATTCGTACGTGTCTTCGTGCAGCTGCGAGAGTGCGGGGTTTGGCGAGCACATGACGTTGCGGTTCACATCGCCGCAGGCCGCAATAGTATCCAACAAGCTCTTGTTGATGCCTTGCATGGCGGCCTTGAGGTTGCTCTTGAGGATGCAGTGGTATTGAATGGTCTGACGAGTCGTAATCTTGAGCGTATTGTTGCCATAATCCGTAGCGACATCATCCAGCTGCAACCACTGCTCAGGCGTGCACACGCCACCAGGAATGCGGCATCGGATCATGAAGCTGTACGCGGGCTCCAAACCTGCCGCTTTGCGCTCTTCGAACGTATCGCGATCGTACTGCTGGTACGTGCCGTGGAACTTGGTCAACTGCCCATCCGACTCGGCGAGCGCACCCGTGCTCTTGTCCTTCAGACCCTCCACGATCGTCCCGCGGAGATAGTTGGATGCGATTTTAATGTGCTCATTGGTGATCGGTTCCGGCTCGGCCTCCTTGACTTCGATCGTGTCGACGCCGAGAGCCTTCCAAAGCGTGGGCTCCCACGCGCGGTATCCAGTCTGCGCGCCATCGGGATCCTGATCGTCACCCAGACCGATGGGCGCCATGCGGTCGAGACCCAAAACCTCGAGACGCACATCCAAGTCCTTTCCAGGCTTGTTGTAGTACCGCGCATCCTCCGGCCGAGGCCAGTAGTGGCTGTCGCCCATCGCAAAGACGGTGAAGCGCGGTGCTTGCTCTTCAGTCAAATCGCCCTTGTTCAACTTGGCCAGCGTCTTGAACGTATCGCGCGCATTCTGAGGCGGCTCTCCTTGACCAGCAGTAGACGTGACAAAGACGACATTTTGCTCCTTTTGCAGCTCTTCAGAGATGGGAAAGTCGTCCATGGCAATGACGCGCGTAGCCAGACCGCGCAGCTTGCCGCGCGTGCCCAGCTTGCGAGCGACTTTTTCAGCATTGCCGCCGTCGGACGCAAAGAGGATGAGCAGCGGAGGGCCATCCATGGATCCCAGAAGAGCATCGTAGGCTTCCTTTGCTTTGCGACGCTGCAAATCGCGCAGACCACTGCCGGTGCTGGATGCCAGCTCGTACGACAGCTCTGGTTGCACGTTGGCGAGGTTGCTGAGATGGCTCTGCCTGTCCAGAAACGCCTTGAGCTGCTCTCGGACGCGCACACCATCGAGTCGGAACACGTCGCTACCTCGCGCTTCTGCAGACGGGTCCCATCGGTACAAGGGCCAGTATCCCGAATCCACTGCCAGCTTCGTCTCGCGCAGCACTTCGAGCGCGGGCGCATCTTCTGTGCGGTACGGAATGTAGGCTAGAACGACGGACGGACCATCAAACTTGTCCGCCTCCATGAGCGCGTGCAGCACCTGCGTATAGTCGGAGTAGACTGCAGTGCTAGCGACGTACGTGTTGCCATAGTTCATGGCGTACAATCCCACATCCTTTTTGCGCTTGTGAGCCTCGACAACATCGCGCTGCGTGTAGGGCAAGCTGTCAAAAATGAGCATATTGACATTTTTGCCCGACGCGATGACGTGGTGAACGCCGGACATGCCCGCATCGTAAGCCCAAGCATCGCTACCGACGATCCACCTCGAGCGAGGTGCGAGGTGCGCAGCGTGCAGTCGAACGCCGTCCAGCGTAGCCGTCGAGTCGGCAGCGAGAAGTTGTGCGAGTTTTGGGGCGATGCGCTCCCGTGCGGCATCGTCCTTGGCAGATGTCCATGCGGTCAGCGCTTCGTGCAAGGCAGGAGAGATGCCACCGGCTCGTAAAGCAGCTTGAGCGGCTCGCTTCAACTCTTGAGAGTTTTCTAGCTGCGCCAAGACCTGACCAAAGGCGTACTCTGGCGAGCGCGCAGATGGGTGAGGATGGGAATCGGATGCGGGCGAGTTGATGACGGAGAGTCGCTCTTTGAAGACTTGTTGGAGCATGACGTTGTACGCATCTTCGTGGCGAGGCGTGGCGATAGGGGCAGTGTTGACAGGTGCTCGCAAGGATGCGCGCGGTGAGCCCACCGTGACGAGACTCGTAGCCCGCTTGTCCGAGGCGAGGAGCGAGGCGAGCGATTCGACGGCTGCTGCGACATCTTTGCTCACGTCGCCGAGTAGACCGCCAACGAGACGTTCTGGCATTGCGCGACCGTCATCGATGGCTGCTCTTTGGAAAGCGCCAGCCACATCCACAAATACGGGTCCGAGTTTGGTGGTGCGTCGCTGACTGGCTTCGAGCACGGCGATGCGCTTGGCCTGAGGGATCAGCTCAAAGAGCTCGTCTGCGAGAAGAGGACGCAAGAGGTTGATGGAGACGACGGATGTGTCGTCGGATGCCAGCTGCTCTGCGCCAGAACCGAGCACGACTGCGACGTTTGAGGTGCTCGAGCTGGAATGCAGGGTGAATGGCGTCACCTCGCGGTCCAAGATGGACGAGACGGTGCGATACGCCTTGGCAACGAGCGCAGAGACGTCATCGTGCCCGGTAGCAGCAGCAGCGCTGGCGGACGTGCTAGCGTGCGAATTGCCATTCACCGCGCTGCCATTGAGACCGGCGCTAGTAGTGGCGGCGCCCAACAACCGTTTGAGATCTGCTTCGGGCACAGGCTCGATAGAGCGCGCAGTGACGGGTTGGATGTGGTCGAAAAAGTGAAGCACGCCGAGGGAGCAAGTGGCGGCGAGGTGAGCGGCCAAGACTGCATGATCGCGCGCTTGTTCGGGCGTGGAGCTGTACAGCAGGACGAGACCGGATGATCTCAATGCCAGCACGTCCGAGTGATCGGCAGCTGATGTGGCGACGTGCAGGACGATGGGCAAGGTGCAGAGTTGGGGTAGATGAGGTACCAATCGAGTCAGACCGATCTGATCAGCGACGATCAAGAGCGAAAGCAATGCGCCTTGGCCTTGCTCCTTGCGAAGCTTTTTGGCCTCGCGAACAGCATCCGTGCCTGGGTCCGCGCTGGCGGGGAGTGTGAGCGTGTCGAGCGCGCTGTACTGCGATAGACTGGCAAGGTGGGGTGCAAAGGGGGAGGAGGAAGCGTCGCTGGATTGCACATGGATGATGGAACGTGAAGATTGGGCGACGATGCGAGCCACCGCAGCGGCGCTGGATGTGGACGCCATGGTGAGGCGAATGTGTGAGATGGTGGTGTGTCACTGAGTGAGGAAGCTGCCGGTGCGCTGTATATAAGCGTGTCTCCGGGGGCCAGGGGCAGAGCAGGGCAACTTCTTCCCTTCTCGTGGTGCGTGCGTGAGTGCGTGTGTGCGTGCGTGCGTGTGTGCTTTGGCTGCTTGGCATGGGATATGACCAGGCGCGCATGCACGCTTTGTCGAGCTGATGAGTCAGATGCTCGGCAAAGGCGAGGCGAGGCGAGGCGAGGCGAGATGCTGTTCGGTCAGATGCGGAGGGAGGTCCCCGTTACGTTACGTACAGTACCGTACAGTCGTCCGTCAGCTCAGCCAGCAGCAGCAGCAGCCTAAGGGTCTTCTTTTGCGCATTCGGGCTTCTTCTGCTGGGCCGGACGCGAACTTTTTTTTTTTGGGGGGGTGAGCCTTGTCGTAGCTACTAGGCTGTGGCTTGCGCGCGCGTCTCTTGTTTTGTTTTTTTTTTCCGATTTGATTTGATTGGCCGACATGCTGACCCATCCTCGCTCCGCCTTTGGCTGGCGGCCGGCGGCGGGCGGCGGGCAGCGAGTCAAGAGTCTGAGTGCAGCAATCCGAGTCGACGTGGTCGAGCCTTTGCGGTGCTGCACGCATGCATGCAAGCAAGCTCACGCGGCGCGCAAGACGCGATCACGCCATCGCTCGATCGCTCGGCAAATCAAGCTACTTTGACTGCCCTGCTTCTCGTGCGAGAACAGCTCCACGATTGCCTTGACCACGTGGTCAATCGCGCGCGCGCAAGCTAGCCTATGCATGCAATGGTAGCAAGATTATTTTTTCTGAAATTCGCACGCGCACCTTGTCCATCGCACATCCAACACTCGTCTCGTCAGCATCCAGCACTCACCTCACCCATCTCACCTCACCCATCTCACCTCACCCATCTCACCTCACCCATCCCGCTCACCAATCCCGCCCACCAATCCCGCTCACCACCGCTCACTCCATTCTTAACCCCCCTCAACATGTGGCAATAGGTGAGTTGAATCGGATGGTCTAGCTCTCGTACCCGCCAAGCAACAACCTCCCCCCCGCGCCGCATTCCAAAAGATGAGCATCATCTTCCTTTCCCCGTCCTACACGACCATGACGAGACGCAAAGGACACGCTCGATCGCTGTCGAGCAAAAAATTACCTTCTTTTGTGCATGCCAGCACATCTTTGACTGATGGATTTGTTGGCGCGCGGCAGAGGCGATGGCGATGGCGATGGCGATGGCGAGCAGCGCTAGTGTGGTCCCCCCCCCAGACCACCACATTGCGAACGCTTTGCAAACGTACGACGGGAAGCGGGCAGATATCTGACAATCGTCTCCTTTTCCTTGCCTCTTCGTCGCTCTAGCTTTTCCCAGAATGGCACACCACGCATCTGGCTGTG